GGTAATGTGAAAAGACACGGAAACTCTTGAGCAGGTCGGAGAGGTATTGAGGGGTCCACCAAGGTCCATTCATTGAATTTCAACTTGTAGTTCCTGATGAGGTCCTGTTCCTCCTCCATCTCAGCTCCCTCCTATTCCTGTCTCTTATACACATCTAGATGTGTATAAGAGACAGGCGGAGGACAGTGTGAGAAGGGACGTGAGTTTGAAGTTGGGAGAAGCTGTCTGCCTTCCACTAGATGTCATTGGTCATTGATTAAGTTTTGGCGTTGTGTGGTAGTAGAAGGGTTAACTATTTCATAGTATATCTCAGCCACAAGTCTTTGCGGATCTCCTCCCTCCTTTACGATCAGCGGCCAATGGCGGTAGAAGGGAGAGGATATCATCATATCAAGGATTCGTCGATGAAGAGTTAGTGTGGATGGTTCTTATGTTGAACAGATGGTTGGCTTCATCGTGCGTTGCAGGGGTCTAGCGACAGAGCAAGGAGGGAGGAGGAGGGAGGAGGAGGGAGGAGGAGAGTGCTTTGGGTGCTTCTGCCCTTCCTCTCGTCGTCTTTGACATCCGCGTCCGTTTGTCCATGTGTCCTTTGCCTTTTTCCGTCTCATACTGTTTCACAGTCTATTTGTTTTTTTCTGTGTTTGACACTCTTTTTCTGCTGTGGCTATGTAGCTTGTAGTTTTTTGTTTGTTTGTTTGTTTGTTTGTTTGTTTGTTTTTAACTGTCGTTCAATCTGCATATCTCCTCCTCTCTTCTCTTATTGACTTCGCATCAGGCACTTACAACATCTCGAGTCTTTTGGTGAAGTCGGAAAAAGGTGACAAAAGATAACTTTTCTTCCATAAGTAGTTGGGACGTGCGCTACAGGCTTCTTCCCCCGAATTCAACGTACGGTGATTATAGCTGAATTTAGACTGAAAGACGCACCAAATTCAGCTATAATGACCGTGCGTTGTATTCGGGGGACGACTGTAGGATAACAGGATTGGCAGGCGTTACTGTAACGGAAGGAGGGTCGTGGAACAATTAGTGCCCTTTTTTTTTTCCTT